CCAAGGGCGGCAGGAAGCCCAAGATGCACGACCTGCTGCACGAGCTGCTGAACGAGGGGGAGGAGAAGAAGGGGAAGGGGAGGGGGAAGAAGAAGGAGAAGGAGGAGGAGTGAGTGAGTGGGTGATTGAGGTGCCCCGGGGGATGAGGGGCCGCGAGTGCGGACGCGGAGTCGTGTACGAATAGGGAGGTGGTGTGTATGAGTGTATATGTGGCTGTGGATGTTGCCTGTGCTGGACATATACTGTTGGAAGGAGAGCTTCCCTCGATTTGGTGTATGATACGATAACTCAGGTGCGGTCTTGAAAATGGGTGTCGTGTATATTACAGAGGGGGGCGTACGGACAATGGATAATGACTCCCCTTGAAGATACGACAAAAAGCACCAAGTAGTACTAGTTACGAAACTCTGCTGCACATGTTGTGGTCTCTTCTGGCGTGTCCAGCTTTCATGGGCGGGACCTGTTCTCTACTGCTTCTTTTTCAACCCGCGATCGATGGGTACCTACCATGGCTATAGCCCCTGAGATATTGGATTACCGTTGGGGGTACGAACTGGTTCCGCGCCTCACGAGTCGCTCTTGATCTGGGCCCGTGAAAGAGAGGCGAAGATAGTTCTTAATCACATAAACGTAACTGGTTCCTCTCTATCTCGGTTTCCGAGATCATAGCTTGGTCGTTGAGAGGCGTTTGTAGGTCAGTATAAGTTTCAAAACCCAGTGACACTTGCTCGCAACTCAGACTCAGATCTACCCTGGAACTTCTCTACCGTGAGGCATTATTAATCATATCTAAGAGTCTACGCTATCCAGAGCTCCGATCATGGCCGAGGAGGATTTCGCACTTAGAGCATGTAAGCTGAGAACCATAGGCTCTGATTGGCTGAATGGAGCGGGAGTCGTCGGTTGTCGGGCGGTTGCGTCAGTTAGCGGCCCAATTATGCCTGTGTGGTCCCTGCAGATTTGCGAAATCGCGGGAATTCTTTTCCATCACACTTTGCCATGCGCATTGCTAATAATAATTATAAGAGCCTGTTTGCCAATCGAGGCCGCGAGAGGCGGAGATGGTCGCATTGAGATGCGCGGGACTGACTCAGATCCGTCCGTGACCTTAGTAACTCCAGCCGCCGTTGCCTCTTGTCCAAAGTCCATTTAGGAGACGTTTCCCTTCTGTACTATTTCCTGTTGTCGGTTGGAAGCATACCCATTTCACTTCCAGGGTTGGTGGTAGGTGAGCAAGAGACAGACCCGAGTTACCATACCATGGCAGTTCATACATCTCTGCTTGCGGCAATTGATGCCGCATCCCACACGCACTTGGTCATTGGCTCGAACCCCCTGGCCTCGGCACGCTGCAGCCAATCGCTGGCCGCGGGCGCACAACCAATCCTACTTGCGCCTGGAGGGGCTCAACTACATTACGCCCTCGAGAAGCGGATAAATGATGGCGAGGTGAAGTGGGTGAAGGAGACGTTCCGGGACAGCCATCTGTTCACTCTCGGGAGGGAAGAGGTCGACCACGTGGTAGACGCCGTCTTCGTGACTTCAGGGGCTAGGGACCCCCTGAGTGAGCCTTGCCAACCTGCTCCCTCCCCCCAGGAAGTGAACGCTATGGCTAACCATATAATATCAGGCGCACACATCTCCGGTCTCTGCAGGCGGAGCCGGATACCGGTGAACGTGGTGGACGCGCCGCAGCTGTGCACCTTCGCGCTCCTCTCCACCCACACCGACGGGCCCCTGCAGATCGGCGTCACCACCAACGGCCGCGGCTGCAAGCTGGCGTCCCGGATCCGCCGCGACGTCGCCGCGTCCCTGCCGCCGCGCCTCGGCGCCGCCTGCCTGCGGCTCGGCGAGGTGCGGCGCCGGATCCAGGAGGAGGACCACCTGATGCACGCCAAAGCGCTGGCCGACGCCGGCGGCGGTGAGGGCGCACTGGGCGAAGACGCCGACGGCGACGACTCGGTCGACCAGTCGGCGAGCTTCAACCGGCTCGTGACCGAGGCCGACCTGGACGCCGCCAAGAACCGCCGCATGCGCTGGCTCGGCCAGGTGTGCGAGTACTGGCCCCTGCGGCGGCTCGCGGCCATCACCGACGACGACGTGGACACGATCCTGAAGTCGTACGACAACGTCGCCTCCTCGGCCGAGTCGGTCGGCAGGGGAGGAGGACCAGGAGGAACCAGCACAGCCGCGGCGACGAGCAGCAGCAGCAGCAGCAGTAGCAGCAGCAGCAGCCCGCCAGCAGGCCGAGGCCTCGGGCGCATCATCCTGGCCGGGTCCGGGCCGGGCCACCCGGACCTGCTGACGCGGGCGACGTACAAGGCCATCCAGGCGGCGGACCTGGTGCTGGCGGACAAGCTGGTGCCGGCGGGGGTGCTGGACCTGATCCCGCGCCGCACGCCCGTGCGGATCGCGCGCAAGTTCCCGGGCAACGCGGACGCGGCGCAGCAGGAGCTGCAGGAGCTGGCGCTCGCGGGGGTGCGCGCGGGGCAGACGGTCCTGCGCCTCAAGCAGGGCGACCCGTACATCTACGGGCGCGGCGGCGAGGAGGTCGAGTACTTCCTCGGTCGCGGATCATTATCGGAGGGCGGGGGCGGGGGCGATGGGGGGCAGGGGCAGGGGCAGCTGCTAACGCCGGACCGCGTCGTCGTGCTGCCGGGCGTCACGTCGGCGCTGTCGGCCCCGCTGTTCGCCGGGATCCCGGCCACGCAGCGCGACGTCGCCGACCAGCTGCTCGTGTGCACCGGCACGGGCAAGAAGGGGCGGCCCCCGACGCCGCCCGAGTACGTCGCCAGCCGCACCGTCGTCTTCCTCATGGCCCTGCACCGCATCGGCGGCCTCGTCGCCGAGCTGACCACCCACCTCGACACGGAGAAGGAGGACGTCACCACCACCACCACTACCACCGCCTCCACCACTTCTGCTACTACTGCTACTACGGCCGGGTCCCCGCCGCCACCGCCGCCACCCAGCAGGCGGCGCGCGCTGTGGCCGTTGAGCACCCCCTGCGCCGTCGTCGAGCGCGCCAGCTGCCCGGACCAGCGCGTCATCCGCACCACGCTCGGCCGCGTCGCCGAGGCCGTCGAGCACGAGGGCAGCCGGCCGCCGGGCCTGCTGGTCGCCGGCCGCGCCTGCGAGTTCCTCCACCTGGGCCCCCGCGACGCCGCCTGGACCGTCGAGGAGGGCTTCCGAGGCCTCGACTTTGCCCTCGACGACGTCGCCGTCGCCGTCGCCGCCACCGCCGCGGATGCGGATGCCAACACGGCGGCGGCGGTGGAGACGGGGGCCGCCTGAGTCAAGTCGCTGGATAGGATAGATACGGCGGAGTGAGTTGAGATGCTGTGAGTGGAAGGAAACCTGACCTGAGTAGGTACTTAGGTAGGTAGGATTGGTGGCGTGGTGGGCTTTTGGGGGGCATGGGTTGGCGTTTGGGAAAAGAGGTCGGCCGTGGTGTGGGAAGGGGTGGGTGCGGTGATTTTCGTTGTGAATTGGATAGGGGGTACTCAGGTAACTACGAGCAGTACTTTATGTTGCCACTCGGAACATCAGAACCTGTCTCGCTCGTCGTTCTTGATGAGTTACCTGGCTCAGACTCGGTGTGGCTACCCCATATAACGCAACTACAGTGTTTGAACCCTTGGTGATTCCCACTTGCAAAAAGCAGCAGAGCCAGAACATGTGAAACGTCGTCTCTTTGATGAGAAGAAAACTCCACTTGGCCTGGTACGCGGAGCCTCTGGGAGGCTATGCTGCCTTCCCTGCTCTCTGAAGCCCTTGTCTCAAGCAATTGGACTTCCCGCAAGATGTGGTGATGCCGGTGGGATTCCGGAAGATTCAAGGAGCGCGACGTCTGGGTAGCAACTCAGGGACGAGTACTTACCTCGGCGGCGCTCAGGCAGTCTGCCATGGGTATATACCGCATGCCACGCTTGGTGTCTCTCGAAGCCTGACATTCACCGGCGTCCCCGTTGCGATCAGTGTTGGTGGTGTTCTTTGGTTTCCATTTCCATTACACCCATAGTGGTGTTTGGGACTCTTCTCAATTCTCCCCTCCTCCCCACCACCACCCCCCCTTTCCACACCCCCTTTCCGCCCAACCTTTCCACCCAAGCACTTGGTCCACGCCAGGGCTTTCCCGTGGACGGGTGGTCAGACCTGTGAAGTTGCCCGTCTTATCAGAATTGAAGCCTTTTGAACCATTCCATGTCGTAAGGTGGTCTGATTGTGGCTCAGCTTGAGTTGTTGGTGCATTGGACAACATGGAGAGGGTGTCGACTCTCCAGAGGCCTCTGCAAGAGCAACTAACTAAGGTATCAATAAATTATTAGAGACGTACTAACCTTCTCTGTCATGCCACTGCCATTAGAACATTAGTACTACGAAGACTTCGCCCTAAGGTATGAATCAATCTGAGGGCAGAGGCTACCAGTCACACCCTCAAATACATCAAGGAGATTTTGAAATTGAGGAACGTACGTAAATTTACAAGTATCCTTCTCTTCCCACAAGCAAACCAGTGCTCTCACCTATCCATGCCCAGATACACAGTAAGTTGAAGTAGGTACTCAATTCAAGTACTACCTAAGTACTTCCCCATCATGATACCGGGCTTCTGGATCTGGTAGTAAGGTACCTCTGATAGACTGTGTGACCACGTGTGGGAGCAACCTCTCTGGAAGCAAGTTGCTCTTTCTTTCGTGATTGGCTCACACAAGCAGCTTATGCAGGTCAGATGACCGCGCGCATATGCTTGCACTTAAAAAACGTACGACGCGGCTTACGCGCGTAGCACCACCGACCCAGACAAACGTCAGGTGACGCTTTCAATATGTCCTTACCAGAGACAATGGAAGTTACTACCTTACGTACGGCTACCACACTCTCCTGCCTGTGTCACATGGCCCTCCGTTTCCAATCAGGACCAGCACTTTTGGACATGTAGATTGTCCTAAGCATCGCCTCGAACATTACCGTGTTTGTCCACAACTCATACCACTTCAGCCCATTTAGAGCAGTGGTTAGCTCGCCGGCCTCCGGTCTTCTTTGACACAGACAGCCGGAAACCTGGGTTCGAATCCCAGAATGGGTGTGTTTTGATACTTTTTGGAAGTCCCGCTACTACTGCGGGTTGGCTGATGGCACATATACATTGATCCGATGCTGGTTGCTACGGTACATCGTCACCATAGCCAAGTATGTGTGGCTGACCAGTAACATGCTTCAGGTTACTGCTAATATAAAGGGTAGTCGCAGGGTGATATTACTGAACCGCAAGATAAGCTGAACCACTGAATGTCTGCAGTCCTCACTCGTGTTGCTACCTGGGGATCTTCCTCCGGAGTTCAGGTGTACTTGAAACTTGGATCGGAATACTCCCGAGGTGGATTTGTGGATAAGTCCCTTCAATTAGGTACAATTTCACCGTACTCAGTGGGTTTCAGAACAGAACCGAGAAACTTTGCCAGGACAGGACAAGCCAACAAAACACCAATTATCGTTTGGATAATGAGATTTTTTTTCTGCTATATTGTGAATGGCAAGCAAGCTACTCCTTATTATTATTATTAAAGGTCAGCAAGGAGCGGACGGGAATCGCCGAATCCCAGAGAACGAAAGACACCTCTTCACGACACCCCAAAATCCGATTCCCCAAGACTAGCCGCGTCGTATTTGAGGCTCAAAGACGCTCTGGGAATGACACTGAATGACATCGCAGCACTTCCTCCATCGATACTCGCCCATTTCGTTTCTCATTCATGGCCCAACGGTTCAGTATCCCATTTGTGGCCATCTACAGGCCGATGGGTGTCGTGCAGAGAATACTTTGCCCAAGCTGGTAGAGGTACAAGCGTCAGCTGGATACACGACGAAATGGTCCTTGTGCTTTCATCGAACAGAGAAGACACAAGGAAAGCGTCGGCGGCATGTGAGGACGTGACTTACAAGAGGGAGTAAGCAGCACTGCGCCTCCTGGCCCAACGTTGAACAGATGTCCTGGAAGTTTTCGGCGCTGGTGGGAGTCTCGGGAGCTGGGGAAGAAGAAGCAGTCCAGGTCAGTCAAGTTTCTTCATGTGCGGGTGGAGAGAAGCAGCGTGATCTTGCTTACGAGAGACGCAGTCGACGTCGGCAACCCCCAGGACGCTCACGGAGCAGCACTGCGGCGTGTTCTCGAGGCCGCTGCCGCACGAGTACGAGCCGCCGCCGCCGCCGCCACCGGAGCCGCCGGTCGGGGAGGAGCCGCCGGACGAGCTGGTCGACGAGCCGCCAGAGCCGCCGCCGGAGCCGCTGGACGAGCTGGTCGGCGAGCCACCTCCGGAGCCGGTGGAGGACGACGTGGGGACGGGGCCTGTCGGGTAGGGGCTACCGGTAGCCGAGCTCGACGATGAAGACGAAACCGTGCTGCTTGGCGACGTGGGCGAAGCACTGCTGCTGCTAGACGACGGGATGGGACCAGTCGGGTAGCCGCCAGTCGAGGTCGAGGACGTAGACCAAACGGTGCTGCTGGACGACGAAGAAGGGCCAGTAGGGATGCTAACTAGAGAGCTCGATGACGAAGACCAGACTTTGCTGCTGGACGACGACGAAGGGCCAGTGGGGATGCTAGCTGGAGAGCTCGAGGACGTAGACCAGACTTTGCTGCTAGATGAGGGAACAGGACCAGTCGGGTAGCCGCCTCCAGAGCTGGAGGAGGAGGAGGAGGTGGGCCAAGTCTCACTGCTGGAGGACGTGGGCCAGGTCTTACTGCTAGACGACGGGTACGGCAGTCCAGAGCTGGACGGCGGGCAAAGACAAGTGTAGGCCAAACTCTCGCTGCTGCTGGACTTCTCCCATTTGGCGTTGGGGAGGGCCAGGGCCGAGTTGGCCATGAGGCCAAAGAGGGTGGCGGCAGTGACAGACTTCATCGTGAAGAGAGTGAAAGGGAGTTGGTGGTGTGCCGGACAAGCGACTGTGTGGAGGGGGGCTCTGGAGTGCCTGAAGGGTGAGTCTCCTTCTCTGGGATGGTGAACCAAGAAAACTGATGCGGGTTGAGGGGGATATCAAACCCCTTTTATAGACGTCGACATCGCTCAACGGGACGCCCTGCTCTCAAACACGATGAGCATGGACAGTATAGCTGCAAAGCCGAGGGAAAGCTTTGTCGATTCTTTCCTCGCATTCCCGATCTCGGCATCAAATCTGCTCACCTCCCTTGCCATGGCCTCCAGGTAGCCACACCTTTCTGACCTTCCATTTGAATCCATACAGTATTCAAGGGCCCAGATCGTGGCCCTTGTCACCTGGTACAGGGCCGCTTGCGGGCCCAATCGTTGCCGGCCGATCTGGTGGAAGAGAGGTGGCTCCAGCCCGGTACGTCTGCCGGCCAGGAGTGACTCTGTGAACAGCACACCTAGCGGACGTGCAGGCAAGCACCTGCAGAAACCTGCTTGCGAACAGCAAGAACGACGCTGCAGTAGCAAGGGCCGTGGGCATCTCCATTTCTGGCTCCGAAGCTGCCACGATGGGCCGACTCCCACGCCCTCGGTTTACGCCATGGCGAGTGGTGACTCGACTCGCGTAGCACGGGCGTGTAGCACGACGCAAAAAAAGCCATGATATACGCCATGATATTGAGCCAGAGGAACGCCGAGGCAACCACTCACGAACCAGTAACACGAACACGCGTCGGCGGCGTCGCCACCCAAGAGCCGCAGAGGTCTTTGGGGACCTGCGTACGTTCATATCGCGAGGGCCACCAGAAGATGCGTTGGAACGTACCGGCACACCGCGCGCAACTCAACTCAGGGCACGGCTATACGTATCTCTCGCCTCTCTCGGCGATCTATAGCTTCCACGTGTATGGGGTGACCTTACAAATTAACACTGCCTGCTGTCCAGTCCGTGCATTGTCTTGGCAGGCCTGGCAGGCCTTACGGTACAGCACCTGCAGAGGAAGAAGTTCCGTTCCAATACGAGAGCGACTTGCAGCTGCTGCAGCTTACTTGGGGGGAGCCACCTGCTGACAAGCTGCCAGCTCTTGCCGCCCCGTCTCCTATCTGTCCCGGTCTGTCGATAGTTGCCCTGTCGGTGGCTCTGCCGCAGATCGGATCTGTCATCGATCTCGCAAGGGCCAGAGTTTCCCGAAAAAGAGATGCCACACTGCAACAGAGAGCGGCCTCCCCAGCCGGCTGGGCTCCTCTACCAACATGCCCGGACCTGGTTTCAAGCGACAAGATTTCCTGTTCGGGCGGCCGGGAAGAACTCAGGACCAGCGCCGGGGTGGCGTACCCGTTCTCGGGACCTCGACCGACCCGTCCCAAGGGCACGGCAGCCATGCGAGGAATTTCTGAGCGGATTGGCTGCTCAGGGGGGCAATAGAACAGACTGCTGCACGCTTCGACGTGAAAATATCGCCTCGCATTGCAGGGGAGCGTTCTGCCATCCGTGTTCCCCTCCTCTCTGACTGTACCGTACCTCGCATCGCCAGGCGGCTGGCCGCATATGCCAGGCTAGAGCTGGAAAGGGGAGCAGCCGGGGTGCCAGGGGGAGGGGGGGGGAGCAGGACAGGGGGGACGTGATCTGCATGAGCTGAATTGCCCGCAGCCTGGCCCTGGCCCTGCTCTTCTTCTAAGTTCCGAGACTCCACACGCTCAGCTCTCCCCACCACCCTCCCGACTCCCGGGGATCTCGCGATCCGGAATCCGGAATCACTTGGTCCCAGGCCCACTGTGGGGGAGGGGGGACGACGGGGAGTTTTCGAAACTCCCGAACACGTCCGGTACCGAGGCATGAGATGCGAGCAAGACTACCGGCAGCAATATCGCGTACACACGGGGAGATTTTTCTCGTTCTGCGTACACGAGAGAGATCACCCTCACCGGATAATATTGGCGGCTCGAGACGAACTTCGGGCTGCGGAAAATGCGACCGGACCCAGCCAATACTACCTGCAGCAGGCGCACGAGGCGCCTGCGAATGCCGCCTCTGCTGCCATGCGCCTCTAACGTCGCAGTCGAGGGCACGTCACGTCATCCGCGCTCGGTCCATCCCGCGCCCAGCCAGGAGAGCAAAAAAAAGGGGGGGGCGGACAGCAGCGGCTGGCAGGCTGCGGCTGGCCAGAATCTGAACATTTCATCTCGGGGCCGCGCCTACTCTAGCCTCGCGCTCGATGCCATTCTGGACAACGCGCAGCGAAAGCGCCCGGCGCGATAAACCAGTCGGAAGCAGCCGCATCCGGACGGGGGATCCTGCCAGGACAGACAGATAGACAGACAGACAGACTATCTCACTCATCCCCCGGCGCCGCGACCGGGAGGAAGAGGAGGACGCCGAGAGAATGGGGGATGTGGAGGCGTCGGTACCGTAGGGACAAGTGGGATGGGATATATGCATCCGGCTGCAGGCTGATATCATTCCATATGAATCTGTCATACACGGTGAGCGACCCAATCACGGGACCCGCGGCTAAAATGACAGCAGGTGGCTTTTTTCCTTCTTCCTCTCTTCTTCGGTCTCCATCTCAGCCCGTCCGTCCCTCAACCACCTGCACGCAAACGCTGGGCGTCTGGGGGAGGACACGGACTCTTCTCTTTCCCCAGGCCAGCGCAGAGGGTCGGGGCGCATATGCAGCAAAGTACCTAAGGCAGGAGGGAGGGGCGAGGAGCAGCGTATACTCAGCGCCGCGGGGATATGAGGGCCGACCCGAAGTTGGGAGTTGGTTGGGAGGGAGTTCCCCTCCATCCTTGTCTGTCGTACGTACGCGACCGAGGAGGAGAACGCCATGGCGCCATGGTGCTATATTCCTTCCCCCGGACGGACGCCCAGACGAGGCGCCGGCGAACCGCACACCGCAGCCAGCACACAAGCGAACCCGGCGGGATGCCCTCGAGAGACGACTCTCGCTTCGGCAGGACGGGCAGATAATCCCCAGAGACTTTTTCTCTCTCTACTCCCACCCGTCCTATCCCAGTGGAGACGCTCTGGCTAGGCCCCTTCTTCTCCTGAGGAAACGTGCCCTGGTGTTCACTTCCTTCCCCCCGGCGGACACTTTCGGCCAGCCAGCCAGCCAGCCAGCCGGCCAGCCCACGGGACGACGGCCAGCTACTTTTTTTA